ACAATCAATTTATGTCAATTGCCACCGGAATTTCTGGTAATATTTTTCTTTTTCTTTGCCTTAATCCCAACTACTTGGGGTCGGCCACCCTTATCCTAAGCTTCCACTTGACACGATCTCCCACATCTTCTACGCTCACATCAGCTGTCCTCAAATCGCATTCAATAGCATCCCTCCATCTCTTTTTTGGTCTTCCTCTATCTCTTCTTCCTTCAACATTCATTTCTATAACTGTTCTTACAGCTTTCGATTCTTCTTTCCTCATACCATGACTAAACAATCTAAGTCTATTTTCTGTCATCTTATCCACGATTGACGCAACACCTATACTTCCTCTTATATGCTCGTTCCTTATCCTATCTTCTCTAGTCACTCCACTCATCCAACTAAGCATTCTCATCTCTGCTACACTTATTCTCTGCTCTACTTTCTTATCAACCGCCCAACACTATGAACCATACATCATAGCTGGCCTCACAATTTCATACTAAATTTAAAAACTATAATTAGTATTTATTCATATATTATATTTTAAAATCAAAGAACTACTAATCAGGATATAATTAAAGAAATAAGAGTTCATGTTGCTTTTAAAATATTTCACCAATTTCTCTAAAGGAAACACTATCTACAGATTTGCATCGAAGCGTTTCTTATGATAGTGATTTTAATCACTGTCAGATATCATCTATACTTGTCCCATCTATGCCTCGACCCCACTGTGCTACCGTTTTTTTTTTTTACTAAAAACTGTCATAACTTTTTCAAAAATAAACATATGAATATAATTTTTTTTTTTATAGATGCTTGATGTCTTTACCTATCATTTGATATATTTTTTTTGTAAATTTGACCTTTTTTCTGCCCACAGGGGGGACAACTTTAAAATGAAAATGTTCCGGAAGGTCTGACACTTTTATATATATCTTAAATTAAAGCTAATGTAATATACATTAATTTGAAAAAAACAAATATGACCTCTGGACTTGTCTTCACGGCGAAAATGGCTACCGAATGCTATTTTCGTGTGAAAATTCTCTATTTTATTATTTATATTATATTTAACTTTATAATGCTATAACTTATTGAAAAGTTTATGGATCCACACAATTTTTTTATGAGAAATAATATTTTTTAATAAACCCTTTTTCATTCGACATACTTTATCTTAATCAGGGTATTAATAAGGAACCAGCAGATCAAGTAGCTTTTGGAATAAAACACCAATTTTTTTAAAATTAAACACTATCTAAAGATTTGCATCGAAGCGTTTATTTTTGATAGTGATTTTAATCACTGTCAGATATCATTATACTTGATCCAACTATNTCTTATGATAGTGATTTTAATCACTGTCAGATTAAATCTATACTGGACCCAACTATGCAACGTCCCCACTATGCCGCGACACCCCTGTGCTGGGTTATTTTTTACTTAAAACTGCCATAACATTTTTAAAAAGACCAAATCAATATAATTTTTGTTATATAGATACGTTAGTTACTTACCTATTATTTTGTATATTTTTTTTATAAATCGGACCCTTTACCTGCCCACAGGGGGGATTCAAAGTAACAACTTTTTCAACTTAACTTAAGTCTTCCGGAAATACTGACATTTTAATATATATCTTAATTAAATCAAATATATATTTGTTATATTAATTAAAATGATAAAAAAAATAAATAAAAATAAAGTCCGAAATGTTTATTTTCCATAATAAAGTATATTGCATAGGCAATAATTTAAGCTATATATAATAGTGTCAGTATTTCTGAACACTTAAAAAAGTTAATTTTTTGTGAAAAAGTTGTCATTTTTAATCCCTCCTCTGGGCAGGTAAAGGGTTAAATTTATAAAAAAAAATATATCAAATGATGGGTAAAGACATTAAGCATCTATAAAAAAAAATTATATTGATTTGGTTATTTTTAAAAATATTATGGCAGTTTTATGTAAAAAAAATTGAAAAAATGTCGAAAATTATCGATTTTTAAATTTGTAATTTTTTGGAAGTACCCCATTTACAATGAACGAGGGAAATTTGTTCATATTTTGAAGGTAATGTCCTCGACTAGATACTATTTTTGATCTTTTGACGAAAGAAATCGGTTCGGTGAGAGCTGAGAAAAAGTAAGACACAGAAAAAAAAAATATTAACACATGATAGTTAAATTAATACCTTCTCAGTTTCGCATCGAAGTTAATAACAAACAATTTATGTTTTTTAAGTTTTGCATCAAGACCTTCAATTTATATATACGTTTGCCATAAAAGTAATAACTACTTTATAATTTTTTATACATTCTCCGAAAAAATGTTAGTACTAAATATCAATTTCATACTATATTTAATTGCTATAATAAATACTGATTCATATATTATACTTATAAGACTTGTAATCAGGATATAAATAAGGAAATAGTAGATAATGTTACTTTTGGAATAATCCAGCAATTTTTAAAAATTAAACACTATCTTCAGATCGAAGCGTTTTTTATGATGGTGATTTTAATCAGTCAGATTTCATTATACTTGTTCCAACTATGCCACGTCACCACAGTGTTGCAACCTCACTGTCTGGTTTTTTTTTTTTTAATTTATTATTTTATGTTTGAATTATTTATTTTATTATTTATGTCTGTATTATCAATTTATATATGATTGCTAATATGTAATATGCGATATTAATAAAAAAATACACCTTATTAATACTATAAATAATACTTTTTAATAATAAAATTATAGAACCAACAGAGTTATTAAAAATTATTTTTTATCAATATTGTAAATATTGTAAAATGTCATTTGTAATATTGATACTATATCAAAAATTTTGAAACTTATATTTATATATATTAACATAATGAAACAAAAACTAGACTATATTATAACATATAATAACATCCTAGAATATAGTATATTATTAGATAAAATGACTAACATAAACAAATACAACATAAGAACTACAAATAATTATCTATTAGTCATTCTTGAACAGAATACTTTTCTTAATACTCTGGGAATACTTTTTCAAATCAATATCTAACATTGAAAAAAATATAAATGCAATTTATATAATCTTTAATATTTAGGATTTTTAATTATGAATATTTAATCTAAATACCAAAATTTTAATGTAAAAATTAATTTTTCAAGTACTTTGCTTTTTTTTATTTTATAATATATTTAGTAACACTTAGCAAGAAAGTAATTTTATTTTGCAAAATGTGAGTATTTTAAATTTTTGAACGTCTGATTTGATTATTTTTAGCCCAGTAAAATATTTTCTTTAATAAAATTTATTTTATTTAATAAAATAATTGTTATATTTGATAGAATAATTAAAAAAAGTATTCCTAGAGGTATTTGAAAAAGTTTACTAGCTATGTATGCGGTTAGTTATTTACAAAACTTTCGTCTAAAGACTTGAACACATTCATTTTAATACCAATTCTGAAAATTTAAATAATATTTTAATTAGAAAATAGTTATTTATAATAATATGGTGAAGTGGGATAATTGTAAACGAATGGTGTAATTGTAATTGCATTTTTAGGTAAATGCAGTTAAATAAAGTTTTATTTCGAATTTAATTTAATATGATATTAACACAAAAGAATATAATAATTTTCAATCTAAAATAAAATCTGCTAAATATTATAAGAGAAAAAATTAGTTAACAATCATTCCATTTGTTAACATTTACAAAACTTCACTCTTATTTTCATTTAAAATATTACTTTTCAAATTCATTAGCTATTTCTTCAACTTTCGTAGGAGCACATACCATTGCAGTTATGGAATATTGTGGATCAAATAATGGCAACACATACTTTCTACCAATTTCAGGAAGATCATCAAGTTTTACTAATGATATTTTTTTAATTAAATCCCTGAAGAAAATACAATTATATTTTTTTAATATTTTATTATAATAAGTAAAATATTACTGGTTATAAGTTTGTTTTAAATTTTGAAAGTAAAACAAAATTGATTGCATAGTTGATGCAATAATTGTTTCCTCTTTTTCAACTATACTAAATATAACAGAAGTTTTTGCTGATTCGAAAAGAGTTGTATCCCAAGAAAATTCACTGGATAAATGTTCATTCTAAAATTATAGAAAAACTTAATAAAACAAAATTTTTTATATAAAAATAATAATGTATGAATAAAAAAATTTTATAAAATTAATTTTTATGGTTCGAAATTACAAAGAGCACATATTATTTTAATGAATTTTTCATAGTGAAGAACAAAGCCGCAGAGAAATTGAAAATAATTCTACNATGTACACATTTTAACTGTATATATTACGAGACATAGAAAAAAATATAATCTGTTATATGTGTATAACATTATTATATTTATTTATTGATAAAATAAATGTTTAAATTAATAAAATTTTATCATTAATAGTTATTTATTCACACAGTGCGAAGACAGGATAAGAGGAGTCAATACGTTAGGTCATAATGTGGTTAAATTAGAACAAACATATATTGACACTTTAAATAGAATAAATACGGTTTATAATCAAGAAAAATTAAATAGTCATATAAAAATATACCATATAGTTTGTCAACATTTTTTAGAAATTCTCGTGATACACATCCTTTAGCATATGTTAGATATTTAAACAAGTATTTTGAAAGAAAGAATATTAAACCTGAGGATAAATTACTATTAGTTGAATATAGTTTAAATGGGAATGCTGATAGTTGGAATTCTATGAATAATTATTTATGTAATGTATATGACAATTTTAAACATCCATTTACTGAGGAGTACTGGTAGCGTGGTACACAGTTAAGTTTATGGAGTCAATTCTTTAGTAGAGAAAGAGTAAAAAATATACCATCTTATAGGGAGTATTTTGTACAGTGGATGCAAAAAGTCAAATATTTTGATTTGCCGAAATTAACAGCGCAATTATTACTATGGCGCGTCACTTCCCTGGCTATATACAGGCTATGCTAATGAATATGCCGTCAAAGACTTTTCTAGGAGTTACTACGCTGTTAGGTGGGGAGGATACGAATAAAAAAAGTATGTATCAGGTCAGTCAAAGAAACAAACGGATAGTCAGGGAGAAGTAGAGGAGGAACAAACGAATAAACGCCGTAATTTCAAAAATAAGTGTACAAGTAGGGTAATTTAGGGGATTCTAGAACCCCCCCGCCTCACCCCTTCACATACCCACCTGTATAGGCGTGGTCGGGGGGGAGGGGCGTGTCACGCAGTGGGCGTGGTTTCTCAATGGTGGGGGTAATGTCAA